GGGAGGCGCCGCGGTGAGGCTGCCATACCCCCGCGGCGCTCCGGACCAAGGCGCTCCAAACGCCCTGGTCTGCATCCCCCCTAAGGGCCTCTGCAGACAGGCAGCTCTGGGCCTCCCTGGGAAGTAGCAGATCAGGGCCATGGCAACCCCATGCTGCAGCCTCGATCCTCCCTTTTGCCACCCCCAAAAGAGTGGCAAAATGCTGCTCCTTTTAGGGGTGACAAACTGCCCTAAGAGCCAGCGCTGTGGCTCTTCAGCGCCCTTTCGGTGCAGCATGTTTAAACATTGTGCCAGGAGGGTGTCCTGATGTTGTGCACTGTGCGTAATGGCACGCGGCATCAGGATGGTGTTGGCGTGGGTTTGGGGCAGCCAGCATGTGGCTGCCCCACCCCAACTCTACCCCTAGGCCGGTCTGAAAGAAAGAAATTGGCAGCATGAATTTCGTAGAATTCAATCTACTACCTCAGATGCTTTTGGGTAAGCATTTAGTACAGATTATTTCCTGAAACCCTAATAAGTAGGGTGGAGCAGTAAATTCAAGAGACAGGTAACAAAGGCGAGTAGGGAAGACTTCTTCTTCCCACTACTGTAGCAGGTCTGAGTGAAAAACATTGGAAGATGTCGTATTGACTGGAACTGGTCATGAAAACAATGAGGTTAGCTGCACTCACTGGTGGAGTTAATGTTGTTTTAACTGATGTATTGTCACAGTAATGTATATCTTGGCAAAGGCCAGATGAGCATTAATACGGTGTGTTGCTTGAGACTGACATCAGGGTAAACAGTCAAGTTCATTATGATTGCCCAGTCTTCCTTAAATATTGACTTTAAAGACTCCAGATTTGCATATGGATTCCAGGAATCCAGAGCGCACAGTGGTGTCTCAAATTGGGATATTTAAATATATATAATCTCATCTAGTTATAAAGAATGGGTGTTATTTGTTTCTTCCACAAGGTCCTGCCTTGTTAACTAACAATGGCTGCATCTGCACTGCAGAAATAATCAAATTTGACACTACTTTAACTGTCATAGCTCAGTGCTATGGAATTTTGGAAATTGTAGTTTGTATGCCACAACAAATGACACTTCCCAGAATTCCATAGCATTCAGCCATGGCAGTGCAAAGTGGTGTCAAACCAGATTGTTTCTGCAGTGCGGATGCAGCTGATGGCACTGAGGTGACCCTGGGCTCTAGAAGACTATGTCAGAGTGCAAGATTTGGCAGGTTCTACCAAGATGGTAAGGTGGTGAGGATGGCCCCAGTGGTGGACAATGGTTGGCATTTTGTAAGTGGCATGCACATATATAAGTCATTAAAAGAACTGGCAAATGTAATCTCTGAGCCACTGGCAATAATCTTTGAGACCTCCTGGAGAACAGGAGAAGTCCCAGCAGACTGGAGGAGGGCAAACTTTGTCCCCATCTTCAAAAAGGGAAAAAAAGAAGATCCCAACTACTATAGCCCAGTTAGTCTGACATCAGTACTGGGAAAGATTCTAGAATAGTTCATTAAACAGAGAGTCTGTGAACATTTAGAAGGGAATGCCATAATCACTAAAAGTCAACATGGTTTCTCAAAAACAAGTCATGCCAGACTAATCTGATCTCTTGTTTTGATAAAATTGCTAGCTTGCTAGATGAAGGGAATATGGTAGACTTAGCATATCTTGATTTCAGTA